TACAGGGGCGCCGTAGAGGGCCATGGACCGCACGACCCCGGCGTATAACCTCCGGCAGGAGGCGTTTGGCCCCCCGAGGTTGGGGAGGATGCGTTTGAACGCAGCCCCCGTCCTCAAAACAAGTAGAATAGACTGTAGGTATTTTGAAATCAGGCCTTTACGGTCACCTTAAGTTTAATCTGTCAAACACCAAGCGGTCACCGGTGACCGCGACCTATTGTTCTTTAATTGTGTCTATAAAACCGGTACTCGACGAGTTAAAACATCGTACGAACGACATTTTTGTAACATATGTCATCATCATCAACATCCTATAAATGCCCACTGCTGAGCAAAGCCTCTTCTCACACGGAGAAGGTTAGAGCATTAATCACCACGCTTGCTCAATGCGGGTTGGCGATTTCAAACTTATAATTAGAAATTATAAGTCCAGGTTACAGGTACAGGTAACATATGTATTTGAACGAAACTTACCAAAATCAGTCCAGTATACAAGTAATTGTAGTTGCAGTGTGTTACTTTTTCAAATCACTGTATTTACAATAATGTCAGACTCTTGCTGACTAAAATCCACCCCGTTCCTTCTCCTGCACGTCGAGCCGGAACCCCGATTACCCGTTAGGTTCACCGCGATTCCGAATCGGCATCGGCCCTATTGGGCCCCATCTGTGGTGGTCTGATGGCTCTTTGAGGTGCGCGCGGAACGCGACGAGCCGTACGCTCGGGTCTGTTTCTGGTCGGACGGGGAGCCATCCATGCTCGCCGTCCGCAGGCCCGCGCTTACGGTGGCCGGAGATCGTCCCGCGATCCCCGACGCCCGGTGTGTCCTTCGCGATGGCTGGGTTGCAAGGAGGCAGCGCTTCGCTGCCTCACGCGTCCCGCCTCCTCCTTAGCTAGCAGTCATGCTAAAAACGCAACGCAACAACGCAAAAGGAGCAGACGGCATCCCAGTCCCCCTCGCTCCGCATCATGGCCTGCACAAGGCCGGACGCGAGAGGTCGCCATCGCCGATCACTTCCTTGAGGGCACGGCGGTGCTCAGCCCACGCAGGGCATTCTCCCACTGTGTGTTCCACCGTGTCCTCAGGGCGGTCCTCGCAGTGATGACACCCGGGCGTTTCCTCCCGCCCCATCAGACACAGGTACCTCCCGAAACTTCCATGTCCGGTGAGGACCTGCGTCAGGCGGTAGGTGAGGACGCCGTAGCGTCTCTCAAGCCACTCCTCAAAGAGGGGACTTACCGCTGCAATGGCAGCGAGCCAATTATTCAGGGCCAACGCGTTTTTTATTTTATCGACTTCAAAAAAAGGAGGAGGCACTATGTTCGAATGATTGTTTCTTTTTTTATGTATGGTTGCCGTTGCATGAAATTTTTAATTTATCATCATGGGTGTCGTTTTCATGGTTTTCGAGGGTGGTAAAACCGATGGTGCTGTCAAAATGTAAATCCAAGATGGCGGTTGCACGAAATTTTTAATTTATCGTCATAGGCATCGTTTTCATGGTTTTCTAGGGTGGTAAAACCGATGGTGCTGTCAAAATGTAAATCCAAGATGGCCGCTGCACGAAATTTTTAGTTCATCGTCATGGGTATCGTTTTCATGGTTTTCGAGAAAATGATGGTGTTGTCATAATGCCAATCCAAGATGGCCGCTACCCGAAATTTTTAATTTATCATCATGGGTATCGTTTTCATGGTTTTTGAGGGCGGTGAAAATGATGGCGCTGTCAGAATCTAAATCCAAGATGGCGGCTGCATGAAATTTTCAATTTATCGTCATGGGTGTGTATTATCTAACCGATGTTGTTTTGTTTTCGACAACCACGCGAACGAAGTCGCGGGCACAGCTAGTTGTATAATAAATAAAGGGGTTAACTAATGTGGAGCTTTACGATTGTTCCCAGAAAAGTAGTGAAAAGTAAATACTGATTTTAAACTAATATTTTATACGTAGAGGTAAGATTTCGTTCGTTTGCAATGCACTGGTTTGCACTAAAAACTACTGGGTCAATTTTACATATTCTTTAAGTGTGGAAGAGCCCATGCTTCGGCACAACTGGGCCGTCTTGACCGGAGTGATACCAAGGCCTCCGGCCTCATAGACAACGGACGTAAAGCAACGCTTGCGTTGTGTTTCGTCGTTCCTTCCCCAATCTCCCCAACCCCTAAATCCTCAACAATCCTCAAATTTCTAATCCCCAAAAGGCTGGTAACGCATTTGTAACGCCTCTGGTGTCCATGGGCGACGTCGATTGCTTACCATCAGGTGATCCGTCTGCTCGTTTACCGGCATAAAAAAAAGAATTAGAGATGGTATATTTTTGGGTAGAGATAGTTGTTATCTTAATATCCCCATCAAAAAGAAATTTTTAAATTCAAGAATCCGCAGGCAAAATCTAGTTTCTAGGTTAATTGTGAAAACTATAAAAATTGTATTAAATATTACCTATAAATTCCTTATGTCTATCTCAATTAGAGGTACTTACTCAAAGTGCGAATACACAGTTCTATACATTTATTTTTAACTTAATAAGTTATTGAATTTCAATGAAAGCCTACTCAATGCTCCTGAAGCCTCTACTTAACCAGATTGAGGTCAGCACTGAGACTTAACCAGATTAGTCTGAATGCCAACATTGAAAGAGCATTGTGGCTATAATATTGGTCAATTTAATAAAACATACGTTGTTCGTTTTCCCATAACAACTTACCAAATGTTCTATTCATAATATGCTAGCATCGGCCAGCTGCTTCGTCTGCGGTATAAAACGTAGTCTATGTATTACTCCAGACCATAATTTTTTTATGGCATAAGCCAGTAAACGAGCAGACGGATCACCTGATGGTAAGCAATCGGCGTACAATAATCTACTCCTGTTTCAAATTTTACACCGACCTTTAGCCGTTTTGACATGATTGAATAACAAAGATACAGACAAATACACAAATTTTTAACATAACATAACATCACACCTTTTATCCCCGAAGGGATAGGAAGAGGTGCACACAGAAGTAACACCCACTCTTCACTATTTATGTTATGAGTCCCATGTAATAGGGGGTGAGCCTATTGCCATATACCGGAACATTTCCAGACTCCGTGCTACTACTGAGATTTTTTAAAACCCAGTAATACATTGCCCGACTCGGGAATCGAACTCGGGACCCCTTGCCCGGCAGTCGCACTTGCGACCGATCGGCCAAGGCAGTCACAAATTTTTACATTTATAATATGAATGAGATAATAAGATTCATTAACAAACCCGACGGCTAATCTTATGTTACGTAAATAACAACTAAGATGAACTTTAAAAAAAAAATTGACTTGTTAAATATCCTTTACATTTTGACAGTAGGTTAAGAACCTCATTAAATGATAGGTATTAACAAAAAATAATTAATTAAGAAGACAACATATAATATCATTTACTGAACAATAAGTCTTACAAATCAGTTACCAATGAGAAGAAACCTTGAGCGTAATTGCATTACAATTCCGTTCAAGCCACACAACTGAATATCTTGAATATATTAATAAAACATCTGTATTTATACAACGTATCGTCACATAAGTGTCGCGGAGAACCTAACGGGTAATTGGGGCCCCGGCTCGACGTGCAGGAGAAGGAACGGGGTGGTTTTTAGTCAGTAAGAGTCTGACACTCCCTCCCGCCTCACCCAGGAGGGCATTTCGATGATTTTCCTCGCTTAAAAAAAATCGTCACATAAGTGAGGTAGGCAGAGTCGAAATGAAACGCTATATAACTCGTCATCTTTATCATCTTACGCTTCATCTTACAAACCATACGTACCATATTGTAGTCAATTATAGCAAGTAGTTATTACATTTACTATACAAATAACATAGAAAACCATAATACACAAAGTAACGACGCCTTTAAAATTAAATGACAAGTTAAAACTGTTTTTTTTATAATCCTAATTGAAAAACATAATAGACGCATTACTCGCCCCTACGTTTAGTTAGTTTCCCTCAGTTTCTCTAGGATTCCATCATCAGATCCTAACCTCATGGAAATGGGACCATCTCGGGAGTATACCCTTTCAAACAAAAAAGAATTTTGGAAATCGGTTCACAAATGGCGGAGTAATCGGCGAACAAACAAAAAAAAAACAAAACCAAACATAGTACTTCCTCCTTTTTTTGAAGTCGGTAAAAATGATTTGTTATCTGTGCTATTACGATGCTGAAAACACAATAGGCTACAAAAAATGTTACCTGTACAACATCTTAACTTTTCAGACTACTAAAGGTATCAAAAAAATTAGTCAGTACGTACTAGCTTGAATATGAATTTTAGATTAGTGGATAAGTTTGTAAAAAATACATTTCATGGCATAAAATGTTGCTCCGAGATTGTTTTGATAACGTTAATTAATATAATGGGACCTTCGAAAATAGGCAGAGATGCAATGTAACACCCACTTTTGACCAGCTGTTATAGTATGATCAGGCTCGTAATATGAAGTGAATAACGGAAAAAAAAGCTTTATTATATGGAGGGAATAATAAATTATTTTGTTTTATACTCTGAGACCTGTTCCAGTCCGTGCTAATAATTATTATATAATCTATAAACCCATAAGCTGTCTTTGCTTTTCTATTCATATAACAAACCAATTATTATTGTGTACAATATTATTGTAAATACGCTACGTCACCATGTAACACATATGATCGCATGTATGTGATTGAAAGTATACCCATCAGGTCTATAAAATTTAATCATGCTTTTTAATGTTATTAAAATTAGAAAAAAAAATATATATAGTTATGTTCATCTATAAATATATAGCACAACGTACATCAGTACTGTGGAAATAATGCATCATACGTGATTACATGTATATGGAAATATAACAACACAATAACTATTGTATAATTTAAGTTAGTAGGAAAATAATAAAAGGATTAATTTGTAAATTCTTTTCAATTTATACAGTAACATGTTTTTATGATTCAAGTAACTGGAACTTACCATCCAAGGTCCCAAGCTGAATGGAAAGCAGGATGGGCCGACATTGCGCCTAGAGGTACTCCAAATCCAAATTCAAACTTCAAGTCATCAGGTCGTCGGGTCCAACCTCTTGCAGTGGACTCTCGAGGCTCCGAGTTTGTCCTCTTATCATTCGTCATTGTATTTTGGAAAAACAGCTTGAGGCTTTGAGTTCCGACTTTAGAAAAACAGAACTGATGACTGAATATTCTTACAATAGAAAAAAAAGGACAAAAACACTGTTAAAAATTACTTTATGTCAAATACACTCAATGAAAGCGTAGCGTTGTAGAACCGCTAAAATATTCGGGCGTGCTACGTGAGTACGCGTCTACGCGGCTACGCGACTACGTGCCTACGACCACTCGGTACGGTGACCACAACACAACTGCCGTCGGCCGATGACCGGCGATTGAGGACGAGAATCACCTGTCATTAAGTTTTCATTAATGCTCCAAATCCTTTGTTACAAAGTGTTTGTAGCAATCAGAAATATTCTTACTGACCTAGTATAACATTATTACGTTTTTATTACATTAATTTGTAATTTAATGTTAAGATAAGAAAAATTTTATGGTTTAAAAATAATTGTGACGTACGAGTTGTAATATTACATTCATGACATTTCCGTAAATCTGATTAATAATAATATTAAACTATTATGATATTTGTATATATAGATATAGATTATAAATGTAATTTAATTATTTTAACTTACTGGAAAATCGTCTTTCGAGTTTAGTTTGAATCACAAGAGTAGAGTGAATCATATTGAATTTCTCAATAACAAAAATGTGGCCTATGTTTATGGAATTAAAAGGTATTTTATTGTTCCAATAGTTAAGGATAAATAAAACAAACACAACAACAATATCAAATACTTTATCGATTAAGAAAACTATACAATTAGACATACCAAAGAAAATATATCTAAAATACACCTAAACAATTACAAACGTACAGCTAAAACTATCACAAGAGACGGAGTAACACGAGTAGCTATATTAGGACTTTCTGTAGGCGCTGTCCAAGAAGGTATTAACTTTAAAATTTTTAGTATTTGGTCACCACTGTCTGAATCGTTGCTAGGAGTCTCTGCATATTCACGAGATGTCGCTTCCATCTCTCCAACACCCAGATCTCTTCGTTCCTGGATTACGGTCAATGTTAATATTTAAACTTAATTTAAAATGTTTGGTTTCAATTCGATTTTCGACATAGGTCGATGCAAAGGTTTTGGATTTACAGGATTCGTAATTTTGCTCGTCAAATGAACTCGTAAAAATTACAGTATTAACAAGTGAGTGCTTTGTGGTACAAAAGGGAATGCCCTTTTGGGGGTTAGGACTTTAAGAACTAGGTGTTCGGGGATTGGAAAGTTTGAGGAGGGGGTAATAGAGTCTCCTGTAACACCTAAATAACTCACACGTCGAAACAGATGGCAAACGTTGTTTTACGTCAGTTATCTGTAAAGCCGTGGTAGTATTATTCTGGTTGGCCCATTCGTGCCAAAGCATGGCTCTCCCACACTTAAACTGCTACGTAGTTATGAAATTACTTAATGTTAAAACCTGATCATTGTATATACAAAAAAAAATCAGGCCAAAACTAACTCTTCGCTATGTTAAACTGTCAAACACCGCGAGGAAACCGGTGACCGCAACCTATTGTTCTTCAATTGTGTCTATAATGGCGGTACTCAAAGGGTTAAGAAATAATAAGTGGCGTACCTTTCTGGTTGGATCATACGGTTCCATATCACGTTCCATACGCGCCAAAGCTTCTTGCAGCTCGCGAACTGTTTCAGCTGCAAACAAATTATAAGAAACAATTATAACCCTTTATCTGTTGAAACGCCGGCTCTCGGTATCGGCTCCCGGTATAAAACACATTATACCCGCAACTTTCAACAGAGGGGATAATCGATTTGAAATTTTACAATAGTAATATTAATGAGTGGGTAAGTCAGACTAGACATGTCTTCCCAAAAGAATTAAGCATTCTTAAAAATATATCGACAATCCAAAAATCATTCATAATTGTTATGTGATCAGTGTTCCTCTTCCAACTTACGATCTTCAGTCGTAATTGACGTAGTACTATTTTCTGTTGTGAGAAAGTCATCGTCTCCACTACCACTGAAGCTCTCATCATTCATCAGACCGTACATGTGTATATCAAATACACCAAAATGACGTCTGCTTGTTAAATGTCTTTCATTTGTCACATCTTCCAATAGTTGTTTAGGTGCCACTGCAACATGACGGATTATACAATCAAACTTCCATTATGTAATTCAAGGTCCATGTTAATTGAACTTCATACACACCCGTGAAAGCATAACGAGCGGTACTTTGATCTCCATGTACACATGCACCCTCAGCGCGATTTTGGCACAATTGCACCTTTTTGAATTTATCACTGGAGACATATTAAGAAAAAATATTTATTCACATTTATTACAATATTTATTTCTATAAAGGAATGGAGTACTGGATCTGTTTGTGAATTTAGGCTTTACCTGTGTGAATAATAGATATTTACGTTCTGTACATTATACACAAAATATGTGACTTCAGTTTAACCACACACACAACAGTCAAATATATGTCTTGCTTTCTTGAAATGTGTGTTCATTTAATAGGCATAAGTACATCAAATATTTTTCGAGAATTTCCCATAAAAAAATATCTTATCGAACCAACATATGCAAAACCACGTCCTCTAGCGTAATGAGACCTAATTATTGATGAAATCGGATAATCTTAATAAGACACACTGGCATAGAGACTATATTTACACATTTTTTACCATTTATATCTTTATCTTACCTAGAGTACTTAGCATAATATGGAACTTTATTCTTAGTCATTTCAATCAACCCATTTTCAGCATAATAATTCTTGTCTTTCTCAGGTATTTCCTCAATGGCTCTGATATCTGCAAATATACGATCTCTAGTGAATCATTTGTTCATTTTTCTATAACTTTTTTAAAATTTCAACTTACTTTCTGTCATTTCAAGGAAATCAGTAAAATCTTCCATTCTGTAAACTCCCGGTCCTTCGATCTTATTGATTTTATGTTTCGTTTGTTTGGCTTTTGTCATTTTTGTTGTTGTTTCAGTTTGCAGTGTCACCGTTGTATTTCCAGTATTCAACAAAGTTTTCTTTTTTATTCTTGGGTTTTCGGTTATCACTTGAGGTCCAAATGCAATTGTACTATCGTTGGTAAGGATCGCGATAACATTTACCAAATCCATGATTTCACTCTTTTGCACCGAATCCAAATATGATTGTGTCGTATACATGTTTGCTATTGCTGCTCTAGCCACTTTGGCTAAATAAAGCTTGTCTAGACTACCCAAAAAGTTTAATGTCTTATTTTTTTCTATTTCTAATACAGCATTTAAAATTAAATGTTCTTCAAGTGTCATAGATGGGTCCAGCGATATAATCTCGTTTGGTTTTTTGGGTTCTGTAATTGAAGAAGCAGAAATGCCATCATCATCATCAACCGCCTATAAATGCCCACTCCTGAGAAAAGCCTCTTCTCACACGGAGAAGGTTTGGGCGTTAATCACCACGCTTGCTCAATGCGGGTTGACGATTACAAACTTATAATGAGAATTTATAAGCCCAGGTTTTCTCACGATGTTTTTCTTCAACGTTTGTCGGTAGTGTCTAAATAGTCTTAGAAAGTACATATAACTCGAAAAAGTCACATTGGTACTTGCCGTTGGTAGGTTTCAAACCCGCACCCTTTTGCATGAAAAGTTACTTAAGCCGCGGGGCCACCACGACAGATGTCGTTAGTTCATTTTTCCCATATATTTAATACATAAAATAAAGTCGTATTATTTTGTTTATCTCTAAGTCATAATATAATGCAAGCGTAATACTAACGATAATCACAAAGGCTATGCCATACAACAGATTGCGTTGCACGAGTTGGACAGGCGTCTGTTGGTGCGTCAGGTAACCACAATGGCATCGTCGGCTGGGGCCCGAACGGGGCTATGTTGCAGACTAGACGCTCCACATTTAGAAGACGACCGCGCCTAGGTATCTAATAAGAGACATAAATATATAATTACTAGCTTTTACCCGCGGCTTCGCTCGCGTCACAAAAGGATAAAAAGTAGCCTATGTGACATATACCAATACACACAGCGCCATCTATACCAATACTTTAGTTTTTCCTAGGGAATATCAATTTTTCAGGGTTAAAAAGTACCCTATTATTTAATCCGGACTTCAAACTTTACGTCTGCAAAAATTCAAAGCAATCGGTTTAGTAGTTACGGCGTGAAAGTGGAACAAACAAACAAACTCACTTTCCGATTTATAATATTAGTAAGGATAACAAAAATGTTTACTGAAGGTTGAAGAGATCAAACCCTTATTAATAACAATGAATACATATCGCATCGTCCATGTTGCGTCATTTGACGAATGCATACATTCATTCATAGGCTGTTGATGATACATTCATTCAAAACGTTAGGTGGAGTTAACGTTGCCGGTTCGTAAACAGCTCTCATTGTTTCTAAGCAAGTTTGTAGTCAAAGTCAAAGTCAAAGCATTTATTTCAATTAAACCATAGTTTGGTACTTTTGAAACGTCAACAAATACAAAATAAATAATAGTCTGTCAGTCAGTCCGTCAGTGAAACTAGGTGAAGCTAGGTGCTCATTCCAAAAAGTAGATTCGAATGGAGAAGAACGAGCAAGAAACTCCATTCGTTACTCTTTTTAAAAAAAGTATGTTCTACAATGTCTCTGATACATATTTCAATACTGTACGCATATGTAAGAACAATGCAAAGATACGCTTGACGCATTATACTAATAACTTACTAAAATTAAAAAAAAAATAAATAAATAAAAATCTTAAAGTCCAACATGGTGCTCACATATGCATACTGACAATCCATAGAATTAATGCTACTATACAAGAAAAGGAAACTCTTTGTTTCAATAAAGAAATGCTCGATGCCATAAGGAAACTAGATTGTCTACATTAGAATTACAGTGTTAAATTATGTATTAAATTACCTACTATTGGAATTTAGCTACTGACTACATTTGAGTATTGTCCAGTGGAGCCGAACCAACATGCTGCCAAGCATCCTTATCTTCAAGATAATCTGTCAGTGTGTAGTAAGCTTGATTACATAATTCGCGCTTAATAGACCGCCTATTGTGTGTGATAGATGCATGCATTTGTCAAATGAATCTGGCTCTTAAGAGATTTTTTTAAGACCTTAAAGATCATTACTTATAATATTTTTTAAGATAACAGTCATAATAAAATAAAAACTGCGTTTAAAAAACCGACTTCAAAAAACCAAAAAACAAAAATTCAAAACTAAAAAGAAAAAATAACTATCATTAGTACTGATAGGTTACCCATCCACTGAGGCTAGAAGTCGGCGCCATAAGGTTAGAAGTATAAAAAAATATGAAGTATTCACTTAATTAAGTAAAAACGCGGGTTACTCAGCTGAGCTGAGCGACGTCATCGCGACCGCGCACGCTGCTCATGAGGAAGAACCCCTCTGTGGTTCGAAACTAGTAGAGGTTTTCTCAGTATATTCACGTAAGTAACCCGCGTTTTTACTTAATTTAGTATGTCTCATGATAGTTATTATAAAAACAGTATTCACTTTGTTACCTTAAATCGACTGCGAGCACAGCCCACCATATAACTTTTCGCCCACATGGTCTGCGCAAAATCTCCGTAGTACTTGTCACCTTTTCGTGGTCTACAGAGAACAGAATAATTTAATACAACGAGATTCTACAAGACCTTAGTAGACATATTGATGATCCCGGTTAACAAACTCAACTACTTATCTAATTGAAAATTTAGTCTTTGTTCTTAAAAATTATTATAAGTTCCTCTAACATGACCTGTGCCATTCTATCGATACCGAATTGACACAGAATGACGGGATCAAGTTTCTAGATGAAATAGTTTACCAGTCCCCACATTGCAGTCAATATGAATTTTGTTTTTTTTATCACACTTTTTAGTAACAGGAGGAGTCACCCACATAAATGCTCCATTGGCTAATTATTTGAAGTCTAAAAATAAGAGAAACAGAGAGAAACTTGTTTATCAAGGGTTTACAAACTTATATCCAGCATATCATACTGACATAATAACATTTTTCACGGTCCCTGTATTTTAATGTTAAAGGTCTCAGCACACAGCGGGCGCAGCGCGGCGGGACGGCTCGGTACTAGATATTAAGGACGACGCCACGTCGTCCGTAATATCTAGTACATTACAGCTGCTCAGTGTCGCGTCGCCGTCCCGTCACGCCGCGCCGCGCCCGCTGTAGGCCGAGACCTTAATACTTACGGCACATAGTATGTAACATTGCCTTTGTACAACAAGCTTTGTATGTACCAAGCGTCGACCATAGTTTCGACTTGAGACACCGGTTCCTGTCCCACTACAGACGCCACGCACTGACCGACTTGCAATGAGTCTATTGGAAAAGAATATTAAGAATAATATTTGTGTACGACTTTTTTGTACCAAACAAAGTATAAGTATACACATAACGTTACATCACGCTTTTATCCCCGAAGGGGTAGGCAGAGGTGCACATTACGACATTTAATGCCACTGTACAATGTAACGCCCACTTATCACTATTTACGTTATGAGTCACATGTATGGCCTATTGCCATATACCGGGCACAATTCCAGACTACGTGCTACTGAGGTTTTTTTTTCAAAAACCCAGTAATACTTTGTTCGACCCCGGAATCGGACCCGAGACCCTTGGCCCGGCAGACGCACTTGCGACCACTCGGCCAACGAGGCAGTCAACAGTATTAGTACCTACCATCATCAACCTATTATCATCAGCCCGTATCTGTCAATTGCAGGATAGAAATAGCTTCCTGACCTGAGCTGACCTGTAGTCAGCTTATTACCAAAACTGGTGAAGCCTTTGTGCAGAACTACCACATTTGACATATGTGTAAATCACAGACCACTATTTTGAAGTAATACTAGCCATAATGTTATAGATAATTATGTTAATAGAATGCTCTAAACTTACATAGATCACGACAAGCGTCATGTTCTTCGACGATGCGCGGCGGACGACACTGGTCTGCCCAGCGCTGGGCTTCACGAGCTAGCTCCTCAACCCAACGCTATTTAACAATAAACTCGTAATAAAGTTATTAACAATATCTATTACACTCTAATTATCATCGTACCATTTTGAGCATGTTCCCAGCGGGAGGGAGGCCTCGTATGCCTCCTCCAGCTGCTACATTTCTGTGATTGTTGAGCCGCGATAGCACTCTCGTCTTCTCTCTATTTGTAAGTTTGGCTTCCTGATACCCCACACACATATTACTGGGGCCTTCCTGTGTAGGTCATGGAAAAATTTGCTTTAAGAATGTACATATGAATTTAGACATATGTAATCCAAAAGCCCACAAATTACTCTAGGTGGAAACGAAATACTGATGATTCAGCTCAGTAATATGTTACTAGCGTGGCCTATGCTCTGCAGAAGATAGAAATATTCTAATGATGAACATAAAAATTGACTTGGATTTTACTCTTCAGTTCGTTTTATAATATAGCAGTCATAAATTACATATTACTTACACGATACCGGCAGAAAGTATGTGCATTAGTGTTTCCACACATCTTGGCGCCGCAGTAGTTGATGGCGCTGGTGGCACCAAGTGCGAGTACACAGGACAACACGACCACTACGCCGAGTATATAAATTACCCCTATATTTACTGTATTCTGTTGCGATAAACAATTAATTTTCCACATTTTACCTACTTTAAACTTACTTTACTTGATGTTATCCGTATAATGTTGACAAATCAGTTTTGATTCCTTGTTTATGGGACGTAGAAGATTTATGAAGTTTGATGGATTAAGGTTTAATTCGTGCATAGATTTTAAATAGGTTAGACGTATGTCGCCACCTATCGCATCGACGTCTAATGCAAGTGTGGGAGAGCCATGCTTCGGCACGAATGGGACGACTCGACCGGACTGATACCACGGCCTCACAGAAAACCGATGTAAAATAACGCTTGCGTTGTGTTTCTTCATGTGAATGAGGTTACCAGAGGCCAAATTACCCCCCTCACCAATCTTCCTAATCCCCGGATCCCCAATAATCCTCAAATTCCTAATCCTCAAAAGGCCGTTAATGCACTTGTAACGCCTCTGGTGTTCCGGGTGTCCATGGGCGGCACCGATTGCTTCATCAGGTGATCCGTCTGCTCGTTTACCGGCATATTCTTTAAAACCTTGTTAACCTTTATAACGATACAATTGTCCTCAACGTAGCGAGTTAAATTACTTGCAAGACCATTTTTCTCAATCGTCAAATCAAATCAATTTATTAATTTGTGTTCAACTACCTGCTGAGGCCACTGTCTTTTGACTAAATTCTTCTCAACTCTGTTATACATATTTTTTTCTAATATATTCCAACAACGAATAGTAATTTTTATCGTCATTAGCGTAGTTCAAAATATAATAGACTAAGGCAATATTGCAAGATATTTTTTACGATTGTAATAATTTGGGATAATCATCTTTAATATCTTTCTCTGAACTATCGTTAACTGTTTTATAAACCAAATACCTATACTATTATTTAATCACCTCAACTTTTGTAGTAAATACTATTTACTAGATATCATTCAGCTATTCTATCATACGGATGTAGGTAGATACTTCAAATGAATAAGTAAAACGAACCAAACAATAAAATCAAAATCTTTATTAACAAAATAATATAAAAAATAAATACAATAAAAAATACTATACGCCCTTTAATCGCCGACGGGGTAGACTAGAATATGAGCAGATACCAGGGTAGAACCCCTTATTACAGGGCTTAAACACAGCAGTCCGAACTCTCTACTATTACTGAGATATTTTCGAAAAACTGAAAAAATCCCAGTAACGCTTACCCCATTCAGGAATTGAACTTGCAGTTGCGACTACTCGACCAACGAGACATTAATAAAAAATATAAATAAGTATAAAAAATACAGACATAATTATCTAAATAATAAAATTATTTAAACACAAAACTAAAACTATCACAAGAGACGGGGTGACAGTACTAGCAACCTTACGTTCATCTTTCGGCATCATTTCCATGAAATGTAGAAGTGGACTAATACCGTCTGCTACTTTTTGTGGGATCTCCTCTTCTTCTCGTGATTTCTTCCGATGTTTACGTGGTTTTCCTTTCTCCCTACTTTTGTGGTGGAGCTCTCTTCGTACCTGGTATAAAAGAGTAGATTAATCAACAAATACTTTTTGTCTTAGAAGTATCAGAAAATTGCGAATGAACACCTCCCTTAAACACCTTGCTTAAACAACTTTTGTTTACTACTGAAAGCTAACATTTATATATTTCGAAACAATAAGCTTTATACCTTTTGTCGTTTCTTATTCTCTTTCTTTGGTGCCAAATCCGCCTCAATACGATGTAAAGCCTCTTGCAGCTGAAGGACTGTTTCAGCTGTAAACAAGAAACAATTATCACGTCACAGAACAATCAAAGAGTAAAAAATGTAATATCAAATTGATCCTTCATTACAAGACAACCAAAAGTTCGTACAAAATATAACAACGTATCAGTCTTCTTCTTTAAACTTACGGTCTGAACCATAATTAAAAAAGTCTGCCGTCTTATTAGGCAAATTCATCGCGCCAAATCGATTGCTTTTTCTGACGTCATCGCCATCGCTGTCTTCTCCTCCTTCATCGTCACTATCACTGCCGCCTCTACCATGACCGTTGCCGTCATCGTAACTGCTGCCTTTATCGTAACTGCTGCCTTTATCGTAACTGCTGCCTTTATCGTAACTGCTGCCTTTATCGTCACCGCTGCCGTCACTGTCACCGTCACCGCTACCGTCACCGTCACTGCTACCTTTACCATCATCACTTTGTTCACCACCATCGCTGTCGTCATCGTCATCGCTCCCGCTACCACTCGGTTCATCAGAGTCATCGTAATCATCTTGCTCATTATCCTCGGGATTCTTTAAGGTTACAGGTAATACTACTTCTAACTTTGTCACATCGTCCAAAATTTTTGGAGGTACCGCTGCAATACGATTAAGTTGAAAATAAAATTTCTATTAATTTTAAAATCCATATCTAACATTAACTTCGTACACACCAGTATAAGTATGATATTCGTAATCATCAGTAGTGCTTGAATCTTTAGAAATACTAGTTAAATTTGAAACCTCATCCACACTAGTAAACTTTGGAACTTCTGTAGTCTGTAGTAAGTTTTCCGAAGTTGTACTAGAAGTTGTACTAGTTGTCATTGTTCCAATATACTCAGCAATGTTATTCTTTTCTTTCTTAAGCATTTCCTTAATGGCTTTGATATCTGCAAATATATGATCTCAAGTAAATAAGTTGTATATTATGCTATTGCTCTCGTAAAATTGTTCGTGAACTTACTTTCTGTTTTTCCATCGAAATTAGACAAATTTTCCTTGTTGTAAGTACTCGTTCTTCCGATCGAACTCATTTTCTCTTCTGTTTCTGTTGTTAATTTCAGTGTCATTTCTGTTTGCAATGGTATGGTTGTTTTTCTTGTTTGAGCATCTTGCATAAATATGAAGTCATGTGTTATTAATACTTGAGGAATAAATGCTATTGTACTATCATTGAAGTGGAACTCAATAACCTCTACAAAATCAACAACTTCTCTCCTCTGCTTCGAATTGAAACGTGATTTTGTCGTTAATGAATTAGCCAGTTTTGCTATGGCTAGTTTTGTTAAGTAAACTTCATCTATGCTGCCTAAATAGTTCAATGTCCCATTATCTTCTATTTCTAATATAGTATTTAAAAGTATGTGTTCTTCTAGTGTTGTAGATGGATCGAGCGATACAATCTCGTCTTGTTTTCTTTCTGAAATTGTGACTTTTATTAAAGATGCAGGATTTTCACTGGTCTGATGATGATCCTCTTGTTTGAAATGTTAATTCTTATTAGGTGACAAAATATTCACAGGTATTATTATACAATATAAAATGCAATTGTTATTTGTAATGATGATACTAACGGTAATCACACAGGCCACCCCAAACCGAAGATCGCACTGCACGATATGGGCAGGCAGCAGTTGGTGCCGCAGGGATCCATAAGGAGCGCGTCGGCTGGGGCCCGAACGGTGCTATGTTGCAGACCAGACGCTCCACACTTCGGAGGCGACCTTGCCAAGACGTCTGACAAAAAATGAATAACACATGACAATAAACTTTACGGAAGTTCTAAGAGTATAAAATGGTTTTATAGTCATTTTTTACCAGTTACCCATTATTATCTAAACATACCAATATAACTATCCAAATGAAAATTCTGTACATTAAAGATATTTAAATAATAATTAGTGGGGGTGCTATATCGATATAGAACAAAAAAATGTGGTTAGACTTTTTTGTCTGTCTTGCATGTTTGTGCGCTCATCACCTGAAAACTACTGATCCAATTCGAATTCGTTTTCAATGATGTTTTCTATCAACTAAACGTATGTGTATAATTTAAAATAAAGAGGCTAGTCAACTCAGACACATTTTGACGGACGAAGCTGTTAGCAGAAGCTAGTTTCGTTTTGATTCTGCATCATTATAAACCTTTTAAAAAGCAAATGTTATGTTTATTGTACTATGCTATGGGTACCCTTGTTATGATGGTCACTATTGTAGAATTTTGTTGTGCATGACACACAATACAATTGAACATAGGTTTGTGTTAGATTCTGATTGACCAACGTATCAGCAGCAGCAGCTCGGAGTCGTGGATTGTGCTATTGTACACCGCTAACTCCTTTTTTAACTGCATGATTTATTCAAGGTCCCAAATGACATTATTAATAAAAAAACATTTATAATTATATCACTTACCATAAATCGACTGCGACCACAGCCCACCATGTAACTCTTGGCCCAAATGATCTGCGCAAAGTCGCCGTAGTATCTAGTATCGTTACCTGGACTATAAACAAACAGACAACCTACATTAGTGTTCATGACAATAGGGTAGTTTCTTAGTTTTTATTTTAATGTCCGTCTGGTACATTAATTTAAAAATTTAGACACGTATTTTATCTTTTCTCACAAAATTAAATACTTTCGACGATATATTAATTTGAAATATCGTGTGACGTCATAGCGTGTCACATTTTGTAGCACATTATGACGTAACGACCTCCCACTCATAAACTTAGCGCCATTGTATCTAAGTATTGCAACGTAGTACGACAAAATAAAAAATACGTGTCTAATATTTTTTCATTATCTAACTGACGGACTAATTAGATTTTTGATTTTGCTACCCTGGACACTATCCAATTAACGGGTATAATGGTAATGTTAATCGTACTAGAAAAAAAAGAAAGGTGAATTGTGATATTAATCCGCAGCCACAAATAGTTTAAAAGAAAAGAAACTAGTTTAAAAGTGACATTATTTTTAATAAGTTTAGGAATATGTCACAATCAAATACAATTATTAAAAGTTAAGGCTAATATGGCAATGTAACTCACGGCACGTAGAAAGTGGAATTGCCTTTATACAGCATGCTTTGTATGTACCAAATGTCGACCATGGACTCCACTCGAAGTCCTGGCGATTCGCCCACTACCGACGCCACACATTGACCGACTGTCAGCGAATCTGATGGAAAAATATAATTTTATTCCGAGAATATGCATTTATGTACAGATGATTATATGTAGTATAAATAAATGTTAAGAGAAAACTTATTTGAATCATCTGAATAGCCATCAGCTGAACGCAGCCGGGTGTGTTAACCTCTGGAACAACCTAATTAATATTTTTTTTTAATTTATGGTTTTCACAAGACAGATATAGTTCAAATAAAAACCCACACTAGGATTTTTTCTAGTGTCGTGGGTGCGTACAAACATAGAAGTTCACATACACATGATACCCAGCCGCGAAACAACAATTTGTGGATCACATAAAGAGTTGCTCCGTGCGGGAATCGAACCTGCAACACTTTGCGCGACGCCTAGCCATCGCGCCAACCGTGTAGTCAATTGCAAGTCCAGCAATAGCAGATATTGTACCTAATATTGCATTTTACAGATTTATTCTTCTGAAAAGTTTTGATGATTGAAACTAGAAAACGTATAATCTACTCATAGCTACATTGGCATAGCTATATAGTATATGGGCAAGCGATTGCACTACTCGTTGGTCTCTGGTTCCTTAGCCAGGTTGTAAAAGATTATTGAATGCGTGCAAAGTGCGTCCAGGATGTTTTTAACCCCACGTTGTATGGGACGTCTTCAAAAGGTTAGTGTCTATTTTTGTGGTTTACAGAAATCGTGTACAGTGTTAGACATATTACATGCCGAAACACATTTCGCAAAATTGGTGAAAAGGCCCGAAAATGGGTGCTACCATTGATTCGTTACAAGATATGTTATTCGTAGAATGATAATGTTGTAAAACTTACATAGATCACGACAAGTGTCGTGTTCTTCGACGATGTGCGGCGGACGACACTGGTCTGCCCAGCGCTGGGCTTCACGAGCCAGCTCCTCAACCCAACGCTATCAAACAACAAGATTGCGAATGTAGATGTCTACCTACTACAACCTTTATCCTCTATACTTGTCTAGATTCAAAACACTAGAGAAACATTGAGGAAACAATACTTTATTTAAGACTGATTTTAGTATATATTTGTTTGGTTTATTATATTTTGATCTAGTCGTTGTAAAGTTTTCGATATTAAACTGTCAAACACCAAGCGGTCACCGGTGACCGCGACCTATTGTTCTTTAATTGTGTCTATAAAAACGGTACTCGACGAGTTAAATAATAATACTATAATAATAATATAACAGGATTATGGTACCAGTTTGAGCATGTTTCCAGCAGAAGGGAAGCCTCGCATCCCCCCCATGGCCACCACATTCCTGCGATTGTTGAGCCGATCCAACAGTCTCGCTTTCTCCTGTATATTAAGTTTGGCTTCTATGTATCCCAGGCAATTAGGACTTGGGCCTTCCTGTGTAATGTAAAATAATCGATATTGTATAAGAGATGGAAAGGTTACTGATTGGCTTTCCACGAAACCCTGTTGTTAGTTTGCATTTCGTTTAATGATTTGCAAAATACCCATATTCAGCATCTTGTATGATCAGATGCATGAAAATGATCGAAGCTAAAGAAGTTTATGTAGAGCATAAATGTTAAAAGATCCACATTTGGGCCATTAACTTATTGTTAATTCCAAAATATACGTCTTTTTGCCAGAAACTCTACTAAATATCTGTTTCCAAGAGAAAATATCTACAAATGCCTTTTACTTACTGGATACTGGCAGAAAGTGTGTGTATTTTTGCCTCCACACATCTTGGCGCCGCAGTAGTTGACGGAGCTGGTGGCAGCGAGTGCGAGTGCACAGGACAATACGACCACTACGCCGAACATTTTATCACGATAAACAGTTAATTTTACACATTTTACTCAAAATACTTTGTGTTATTGTGTCGGCTACGTTAGGTCAGTACTTATACTTATCAATGGTGTCAGCTGTCCAATTTTGACAAGACACACAGAGACGAAAGATGATGAAAAGAGGTTTTATTTCTGCATAGATTATGCTTAAGACTATTACCTTTCTGATGCTCCTGTTTGTTTTGACCCAGGTTAAATCTGATAAACTCATTAATCTTTAGAGAGACTCCGAGTATAGTACTTTCCAACCTTCACTATGTGACCTTAAAGGGGGTGAACGGACAGTGGCAGGTGGGTAGAATAGCCGGTCATCCATTGTAGGATCCACAGGATAACCCAAGTTACTTCACAGTGTTTTCCTTCACCATTTGTGAATGGACACCACTGTGTCTACATTATCTTAGAAAGTAAATTTAACTCGAAAGAAGTTACATAGGTACTTGCTATTAGTATTTAAACACGCACTCATGCATAAGAAAGGGCGTCTTAAACCTCCGGGCCACCACGACGATCCAAAACATGTATCTAATTCTAAAATTAGTTTTTAAAATTCTCAGTAGTAGCACTGGAAAACACGTATGGAGTGTTATGTTAAATTCGTGAAAACATGATAACTATATTAACCCTATTTTATAAAATACCTTCTATTCAACTGCATGTCTACCCTGGAAATTGACTATCTGACAACTAACAGATTGCATTCCAATGCACATACTCATACAAATACTATTCTACTCGATGCTCATCATTTCTTCATTTAGCAATTTCAAACTGGTGATCCGGGGTTAATGAGTTCAGGTTTTAGGTTCAATGGAAACAAAGAGTTTCCTATTTTTTGTATAGAAGCACTATTTTTATGGATTGTCAGTTGTTTTGTTTTTTTTTTTATTTTAGAAAGTTTTGTAATTAGTATAATGCGTCAAGCGTATCTTTGCATTGTTCTCACATGCGTACAGTATTGGAATATGTATCAGAGACATTGTAAAACATCCTTTTTTTAAAAAAGTAACGAATGGAGTTTCTTGGTCGTTCTTCTCCATTCGAATCTACATTTTGGAATGAGCACCTAGCTTCACTGACGGACTGACTGACAGACTATTATTAATTTTGTATTTGTTAATGTTTCAAAAGTACCAAATTATGGTTTAATTGAAATAAATGCTTTGACTTTGACAGGTTAATCTAATAATTTAACTACGTATTTCAAGTGGATAAGTAAAACACTTTATTAGACATAAAAAAAACACTTTATTCAGAAGAAAAACTAAACAATAAAATTGTAAACCTATAACAAATAAATATCGATAAAATGTAAATTATTCCTAAACAATTACAAAGACCAAACTAAAACCATTACAATACACGATGCGACATGACTAGCTATATTGGAATTCACAAATCTTTCGCCGCCTGAATATTCCTCATCATTGTCTAGTTTCTCTCTTTTAGATCTTCTCATTCTAGGTAAACGGTGTAGAACCTGGTGCATCAGTTAGTCTGGTCAACAAGTGGTTTTATTTCTACTCTGACTACTGTATCAGTTGTATCAGCAGTGTCGGAAAATAAAAAAAATTAATAAGAATAAGATAAGAATAATCTTTAATGTACACCTTAAAGCAATATAAACATAAATGTCGAGTTTCATCCAAGAATAGTAGGGTACAAAGGCGGCCTTATCCCTAAAAGCGATCTCTACCAGGCAACCTTTGGGTGAATGGAGCACTGTTTAATGTTGTAAAATGTGGAGTTTTTCTTAGCTCTATTACTGTTTTATGTCAAAAAGTATTTACTTTCATTTCCGAATGGGATGACATCTCGATAATAATTTACCGATATCATCGCCACTACAAATCATTTGTTTTACTCAAGAGCCAAGCTGACTGAAATAATGCATAATTTTCTACAACATAATATACAACTTGGGCTGCACGGTTCGGGCGGTGGCTGGGCAACCGGCTGCCGTGCAAGGTGTCGCAGGTTCGATTCCCACACGGAACAACACTTTATGTAATCCACAAATTGTTGTTTCGGGTCTGGGTGTCATTGTGTGTGTGAACTTGTATGTTTGTAAACGCACCCACGACACAGGAGAAAATCCTAAAGTGGGGCAATGTTTTTCAACTAAGCTGTTCCGTATCTTCATCATCATAGACATCACCTATAAGTATCCACTGCTAAGCAAAGGCCTCTTCTCACATGAAGAAGGTATAAACAATAATCATTACGCTTTATTGGTATTTGATAAGTCGGTCGGTCATTGGTCGCTTATTCGCTATATCAAGAAGTAATACCTTTTTATGTTTCCTTTTCTTGCCTTTCGATCGTGATAACTCTTGTTCATTAATTTTTAACGCTTCTTGTAGCTCCCGAACCGATTCAGCTGTTAACAAAAAATATTTGGAACAATATTATTATTATTAAATAGATACTCTTGCACCATAACAAATATGGCTGCATACGAAAAAGGTACAGCCATTTCTGTAGCAGATACCCTCAAATGTCTAAAATATTATTGTTATAGCTTCATTTCATTTTTAACTAGCTTCTTTTGCGCAGTTTCACCCGCTCTGCTCGGCTCCTATTGATCGTAGCGTGATGTTTTATAGCCTATAGCCTTCCTCGATAAATGGACTATCCAAAATAAGAAGACGTTTACAAATCGGAACAGTACTTCCTAAGATTAGCGCATTCAAACAACTATTCAGGTTTGTATAGTAGAATATACAAAATGTCCCTGAAGTCGACGACAAAATAGCACCAGGTGATCGTCTATGTTCCAATATACTACAATGACTTATTTGTTATCTACGAAAAAGTACATACACCCTGTGCTAGTCTTTTGACTCTTGTTGCTATAATTCTATATTTTATGTCTGTATTTTTGCACACGTTATCTTGAATAACATAACATAACATCACGCTTTTTATCCCCGAAGGGATAGGCAGAGGTGCACATTATGCCACTGTGCAATGTAACACCCACTTTTCACTATTTATGTTATGAGTCCCACGTAATAGGGGGTGAGCCTATTGAATCCTGAATAGTTAAAATGTTATCCTGAATAGTGCTTCAGTATTATTGAATTTTAAATTCTGAACGAACTGCTTTAGTTTGGAGAATAATGTCGTTTTTTGACGAACCAAATGTTCTTAACAAGGTTGATACTAACGGTAATCACAAAGGTTAATCCATGTACTGGATACTCTTGCACGATATGGACAGAGTTCAGCTGGTGCCTGAGGGCGCCACAATCGGCGGTGCCGCTTCGGCCCGGCCGGGGCCACGTTGCAGACAAGTCTCTCCACATTCTGGAGACTACCTTTCCATTGCGTCTGATATAAAACACAAATATAGAATGATAAAGTATTATTATTATATTCATTCAAAGTCGAAATCCAATCATTTATTTTAATTATACAAATCTCAATTCCATGAACAATAAACCGTCGGCCGGTAACCTGTAACTCCTCTACTGTTGTGTTTATTTACCATCAGGCGATACATCTCTTCATAAGCCGCCCTATTCCATATAAAAAATATACGAATACATGTGAACTCCACATTTTTTTATGTGATAAGCTGGTAACGAACAGATGGATCACCTGATGGTAAGCAATCGGCGTCGCCCATGGACACCTGGAACACCAGAGGCGTTATAAGTGCGTTACCGGCCTTTTGGTATTAGGGATTTGAGGATTGTTGGGGATTTAGGTAGAAACACAACGCAAGCGTTGTTTCACGTCGGTCTTCTGGTATCACTCCAGTCGAGCCGGCCCAATCGTGCCGAAGCATGGCTCTCCCACACTTAAATGTTTATAGTAAGTATCCAAAACACAGTAAGAAATACAATGAACTTACTTTAAATCTACTTCGAGCACATCCTATCATATAGCTCTTGGCCCAATAGAGCTGCGCAAAGTCACCGTAGTAGTATTTAGTACCGTTACTTGGACTACAAACAAATGAAAATGTGACATTAGTGTTCACGACAAATAGTAGTACAGTGACGGCGTCTTATTTAAAGAAGGTTTTCCCATAATCCCTACACTTTTTAAATGGATTGGAGATCGTAGTGTAAAGGATCACCTTCATCAACGAGCGATGCCGCCCGCTCTCATCATCATCATCAACAGCCTATAAATGCCCACTGCTGAGCAAAGCCTCTTCTCACACGGAGAAGGTTTGAGCATTAATCACCACGCTTGCTCAATGCGGATTGGCGATTACAAACTTATAATTAGAAATTATAAGTCCAGATTCCCTCACAATGTTTTCCTTCACCGTTTGTTAGCGGTGTCTAGATAATCTTAGAAATTACATATAACTCTGAAAAAGTCCATTGGTACTTGCCGTTGGTAGGTTTCGAACCCGTACCCTCATGCATGAGAAGCGGGCGTCTTAAACCTCCGGGCCACCACACCCGCTTTCTGTTAAGTAATATTATGTGTATATGTACCTATTTAAATAATAAAACTCACGGCTCGTATCTGGTGACACTGTGATTATAATACTTGCTTTGTCTATTCCAAATGTCGACCATAAAGTCGACTCGTTGCGGCGTTGTGCCAATTGCTGACGCCACACACTGACCAACTGTCAATGAATCTGACGGGAAAAAGCAATACCGAAAATAAAAAATCTAAATTACTATAATGTAGGTATAGTTTACTATCGTCCTGGTTTAACGTTGTACAGGGGAAAATGTAATGGAATCAGATCACGAGGCAGACCACCTAGCGTCGGACTGACCTAATTAAACAGCAATAAGAAACCCTATGTCAGACTACGCCAGACTACAATAAAGTAATTCCCTTATTAAACAGTACTCTTCATGAAACTGTCTATAGATTACGAAAAATGGGTGTTAATTATGGTGAATTGAAAAAATTTACGTTAAGGTATAATATTATGGAGATATTGGCATAATGATCTAAAACTTACATAAATCACGACAGGTGTCGCGTTCTTCGGGGCGTCGCGGCGGACGACACTGGTCTGCCCAGCGCTGGGCTTCACGAGCGAGCTCCTCAACCCAATGCTGTTGACCAATAAAATCAATATAAAAAATCATTAGAGTAAGTGAGATGTGTTTGTGACTGCTGAAATACTTATGTGGTCAATTTTTAATTTTTACTAGTTTCTGCCCGCGACTACGTACGCGCAATCCTGTTTTCGCACCCGCCCCGTAGCCTTTTCAGGATTTTTTCCTGTCACAAGAACCTTCTCCTGACAATAACAAACACAACTAAAAAATCAACCAAATCGGTCTAGCCGTTCTCCAGTTATGGCGTGACAACGGGAAACGGGTTTCATTTTACCTATATAATTTTTATTTAAAAACAATTTACATTGTGTTTGAATTAAAACTTAAAAACTAATAACACAAGTAGTACAAAAATTTAAAATTACATTACTAAAATCGAATTACATTTAAAATAAAAAATAAATAATTATGTTAGCTAAATACTAGTCTTAAAAGGGTAAAATGTATTTTGGAGACGCAGTCGCCGCCTTCATGTGATACCAGTGTGTTGCACGTCACCACGCAACAGCTGTTTGACTGTGTGAAAAGTATGAAACGCGGTAAGTCGCCGGGCCACGACGGACTCAGTGTCGAGCACTTACTATATGCTCCAGAATCGGTGTATATTAGAATCTCAGAATTGTTTAATGCATGTGTTGACCACGGCTATTTACCTGATAATTTCTTAAGGACTATAGTTGTACCCATTGTAAAGAATAGGACTGGTGATGTATCTAACATGTCTAATTACAGGCCCATATCTTTAGCAACCATTTTTTCTAAGGTTTTCGAGCGCTTAATAATACCACATTTAAACGAAATGAGGTTTCCAATAAACGACGCACAGTTTGGTTTCCGAAAGGGTCTGTCCACTGACATGGCTATATTTACACTAAAGAACACCGTATATAAATACATACAAAGAAATACTAGCGTTTATGCCTGCTTTCTAGACCTAAGCCGCGCATTTGATTGTATTAACTATAAGTTGTTGTGGGCTAAGTTGAGGGATCCCAGCTCTAAAGTACCGCCAGGAGTTGTTGACCTGCTGGAGTACTGGTATGCCAATCAATGTAACCAAGTAAAGTGGAATGATTCCTTGTCTGTCTCATACAAATTAACATGTGGCGTAAGGCAGGGTGGGCTCACGTCACCAATATTGTTTAATATGTACACCAATCAGTTGATTGAGGAGCTCAGCAGCGCCCGTGCCGGTTGTCATATTGGTGTGTTGCTGTAAACAATCTCAGTTATGCGGACGACATGGTGTTGCTCAGTCCCTCGGCCAACGGTTTAAGGAGACTTGTTGGCATCTGTGAAAAATATGCTACGGAACATTATCTTACATATAATGTTAAGAAATCTGAGATAATGATATTTAGGAGTGGTAAAGGTCCCGACAATATTTTACCGATCAATTTATGTGGATCCACGCTAAATGTTGTAAGGAAATTTAAATATCTTGGTCACATTATTAGGGATGATCTATTGGATGACGCTGATCTGGAACGCCAAAGGCGTAGTATAGCATGTCGTGCCAACATGTTGGCTCGGCGTTTCTCACATTGCACGGCCCAAGTTAAGATAACTTTGTTTGGTGCGTATTGTCAGTCTTTCTACACCAGTCAGCTGTGGTACAGATACACAAGGAGTGCTTACAACACTCTTCGTGTACAATACAATAATGCTTTTAGAGCAATCCTAAAGCTTCCCTGGCGGTGTAGTGCGACTGGCATGTTTGTGGAGAATAGGGTTACAGACTTCTATGGGCTTATGAGGAGGCTCAGGGCGTCTTTCCAGGCTCGTCTATGTGCTTGTGGGAGTAAATTGGTTTCGGCAGTGTTCCATCACGTGTACTTGTTGAGGTTGGAACTGAAGTACCTTATGACGAAACATTTATAAATAAAAAAATTTTTTTAATATCTTAATTAATGATTTAAGTTGTTTAATTTTAATTTTATCTTATTGTAATTTTAATTTTGTTTGATTGTAATTTTAATTTTAATTTTATTTTATTGTGATTTTAATTTGATTTTATTATAATTTTGATTTTGATTTCGTTTATTGTAATTTTCATGTAATTTTGTGACTTTTTACTATGGGTTCCTATGCCTGAAATAAATGATTTATTATTATTATTATTATTATTACGATTAAATGCTTCCATGGGTTAAAACAGTAATCATATTCTACGCGTACGAAGTCGCGGGCAACAGCTAGTACATTCATAAAACTGTTCAATATACCCAATACAAGATAAATCATGTCAAGAGATTCGAATTATTATTAATGTTAAAAACCAAAAAACTTCGAATCCACGACCAAAGCCGATCAACTGGAGTAAGTGTTTTTTAGCAATTCTATTTACTGTGAGATCTTCAGTTCTGTTGTTCTACAACATCTATTTGAGATAGATTACCGTACCAGTTTTAACATATTCGCAGCAGGGGGAAACCCCTTTAGCCCGCCAGCTGCAGCTTTATTCCTGCCGCTGTTAAACCGTTTTAGCAGTCTCGCCTTCTCTCTGCTTCTAAGCTTGACCTTTACATACCCAATGCAGTTGGGACTAGGACCTTCCTGTATAATACATAAAATTATTCGTTACACGAACTTTACAAAGAACTTGGCTATATTCAATATCTAAAATCCTCAATATACCTGACTGGAGATGATGAGATGGAGAACACGTCAACTGCCATTAGGGACATTAGAGACTACATGTACGACAGAGGCCGAGTCGCAGTTTTCCTGAATAAACCCGAACATTTTAATCTACAGTCTCCAGTCCAGCAGTGTGCTGTCAGGGTAGTTGATGTTGTTGAGGCAATATCATCTATTACTTACTGGATACTGGCAGTAAGTATGTGTATTGTTGCCTCCACACATGCTGGCGCCGCAGTAGTTGACGGAGCTGGTGGCAGCGAGTGCAAGTACACAGGACAATACGACCACTACGCCGCGCATTTTATCACTATAAACAATTAATTTTACATATTTTACTTAAAAATACTTTGTGTTATTGTGTCGGCCACATCTAGTATTTATACCAAAGAATAAAGCTTTGGAGCAACTCTGGAGTAAACAGTTTATTAAAGTATAGGGGAAGGAATGTCACAAGAATGTCAGCTGTCCTGTCTAATTTTGACATGTCACAGAGAAGCAGAAGACAGTAAATGTAGGTTTTATTTCTGCATAGATTTTGCTTACACCTTTTTAGTGTTCCTGCTTTATTTGATACGATTTTTCAAAGGATCTCGTCTTGATCTTGCTTATACTTGTCGATCATATAGATGAGATAAAAAAAGAAAATACGATCTGGTCAGCTCGGGGGCTGAAATATTACCATGGGAACAAGGCGGAAAGCCATCATTGCAATCATTAGAATCGTTAGGCTGGGTTTCTACCCGAGCGTGTGAGGGATGTGCGAGGGATGTACTTGTAAAGAACCAATAGAATCGCTTCATTTACCTCGCCACAGTCAGCACAGCACTGGTGGAAACGGTTAAGTAAGATAGATTTCTGTGTATACAAAACAAATGAGGGATGTGTACGAAGGATGTGTGCGGGGGATGGGGCAGGCAGGTATTCGCGTTACTCCACTTCCACTACACCGCACACACCGTCGATACATTTTACAACTTCGCAACGCAACTTCGCACCACACATTAATTCACAATTTTACAGCTCCGCTCCCACTTCCTCGTAGGCACATTATTATCGCACAGCTTTGGTGGCAGCCTTCACAATCACAGCTCAGCCATACCTCTTGCCAACACTACACATTTCCACCGCACATCTGTGGCTACTGGGCTACTGTGAAAATGTGTGATTTGTCATTTCCATCAGAGTTGTGCTAACTAAGGCGAAGTAAATGAAGCGATTGGTTCTTTACAAACACATCCTTCGCTACGCATTCTCGTACATTTTTTGGTGGAAACGCAGCCTTATTGTGAATGTGTTTGAGATAATAACAATGAACTAAGGACATTGAAGATTTCATTCAACCTTCTTGCAGTGAACATTATGTAATAAGAGCATAGATATATAACATAGATATCTGACTATTGTCTACGGGTAGAATTTAAGATCCATCTCGACAGTAAATTCATAAACATACTGTTGTTTCTTTTTTACTTATGTCTCTTTGCCTAAGCAGAAAGAGACAACACATTATTGTCATTCTGGCAATAATTTTGTGATGTTTTCAGAAATACCCAGTTGTGCATAGATAACAATAAGTGACCTAATCTTCAACTATGTTTGAATATTGAACGTGACTGACACCTCGGAGTTTGTTCCGATATTTAGATTCTCAGAGTAGTCAATAGGAAGTACCGGCCTCAACTGGCTTATATAAATTAGTTAGTTAAACAGGCAAACGTGCAATGTGCTAAAATCATGCTAAAATAAATAATAATAATCACTACGAAGAATCTATTGTATTACTGCTACCGACATATCGCTTACATATATAGGTTTAACCTATACTTTTTCGTTTCCAGAGAGACTGACCATAGCCCTTTCCAACACTCGCTTTCAAACGAATAAGTAAAACGAAGCAAACAACAATATAAAAAACTTTTTAATAAGGCAAAAGTAAATAAAACATTGTATAATAATAAAAAATATCAATAATATGTAAATTATTCCTAGACAACTATAAAGTCAAAATTACAACCATCACAATACTCGGGGCGATACGACTAGCTATATTAGGATCTGTATTAGGATCCATTGATCTGTCAAATTCCTTTGGTCTCTCGGACCTAGACTCGATTGGATAATCGTCATAATCATTTGGTTTGTCTCTTTTAGATCTTCTTGATCTTGATAGGTATTCACGTAAACGATGCGGGATCTGGTGTCAGAAAATTAAAAAATGAAATGTTGTACAATGATTGTTTTTCTTAGGTCTATTGGCTATGTGCGCGACGGTGGCGACGCGTAGCGTTAACAACATTTGCGGAAGCTGTCAAATAATAACAATGTAAACATTATATTTTTCTTTGCAAATATAAATAAAACCAAATATTAAAATAGTATTGTTGACATTATTAAACTGTCAAACACCAAGCGGTCACCGGTGACCGCGACCTATTGTTCTTTAATTGTGTCTATAAATACGGTACTCGACGAGTTAAGGTGCAATTTATTTAATCGTTTTACTGTAAAATGATATAATAAAATAAAAAAAAACGGGTTTGCATCATCCGCATTTGTTTCCAATTTCTGCCGTGTTGTGCGCTGCGGTCGTTATCCGTCCGCCACTACTCGCTTTGCACATAGCCAATTACTGTTTTTATATCTAAAAGTCTCATTTTACATTTCGATGACAATTTTCCGATATCATCGCCACCACACAAAAAAATTGTTTTAATCAAGAGCCAAGCTGGCCGAAATAAAGCATAATTTTCACCAACACTAAAAGTTTTACTGTAGATGAATGCACGTTTGGTGCGGTGGTTGGGCAACCGGCTGCCGTGCAACGTGTCGCGGATTCGATTCCCGCACGGAACAACTCTTTGTGTGATCCACAAATTGTTGTTTCGGGTCTGGGTGTCATTGTGTATGTGAACTTGTATGTTTGTAAACGCACCCACGATACCAGGACAAAACCCTAGTGTGGGGCACGCTAAAAAAAAAAAGATCCTGGCTTACAGGAATTGCGGTGGTCCCATAAAAAAAACAAGTAAAAAGCTAGCTGTTCTGTACCTTCATCATCACCAGCAGCCTATAAGTATCCACTGCTATGCAAAGGCCTCTTCTCATATGAAGAAGGTATAAATATTAATTATCAATCTTTTTTGGAAAAAAGTAATTAGTAATTAATACCTTTCTATGTTTCTGTTTCCTTCTACGTTTCCTTTTCTTTCCTTTTTGTGATAAATCACGTTCATCACGTTTTAACTCTTCTTGCAGCTCACGAGACGTTTCACCTGTAAATAAATATTAATTACAATATAATAATATTCGTAGAATATTTATTGACAATTATATAAACTTATAAATAAAATAGATACTAACTATTACTTAAGATACACTAAAACTAATGGAAAAAAATAAATAAAAGAAAACTAATTGTGTTGTTCCAGACCATAACCTACTTCTATTCTAAATTTCATCCCGATCCCTCCAACCGGTTTGGCGTGAAAGAGTAACAAACATACAAACGTTTGCATGTAAGTATTGTAAGTAGGGTCACTTAAACATGATACTAACGGTAATCGCATAGGTTACGCCAAGATGAAGATAGTGTTGCACGATAGGGACAGAGTTCAGCTGGTGGCTGAGGGCGCCATAATCGGCCGTACGGCTCCGGCCCAGCCGGGGCCACATTGCAGACTAGTCTCTCCACAAACTTGAGACCACCTTTCCGAATAATCTGATAAATATGCAAATACTCTCTAGAATTACAAAGCATCATTTACTCATTCAAAGTCCAATCGTTGAATTGAATTAAACAAATTTCGGTTTTATTTACAATTATTTGCCGGCAATGCGCCTGTAACTCCTCTATAGTTGCGGTAGTTCACGAGCGGTGCCGGTTGCTTACCATCAGGTGATATACTCTTCGTGCACAAAGACTCGTCAGACCACCACAGATGAGGCCCTAAAGGGCTCAGCCGCGGAAGCCTTAACGGTTTGCCGGAGCTCCGGCTCGAAGAGCAGTAGGAACGGGATGGTTTTTAGTCAGTAAGTTACAATTTTTGACACTTAATGATGTCTCCCGGCTTGGGTGAGCCGAGAGGGAAATCATTAGATGATTTAACCCATTTAAACTGTCAAACACCGCGAGGACACCGATGACCGCAACCTATTGTTCTTTAATTGTGTCTATAATGACAGTACTCAAAGGGTTAAATATAAACGTGTGGCAAGCGTTCATAGGCCATGGTAACCACTTATCATCAGATGGGCCGTGTGCTTTTTTGCCACCGTTGTGGTAAAAAAAACATAAGGAAATTCTGGTGTGAGGTTAATGTACATACATATTTATAAAAATACATTGCACTTATTTATTTATTTATGTACACACATACAACATAAAGGACAACACATACATAAAATTAAAGTACAAAGGTACCACCTATTCCTATTGGAATTTCTTCCTGTGGACCTGGAGCAGGAAAAGTAATAAGAATATAATGACACAGTGTGTACTTACTTGAAATCTACTTCGTGCACATCCCACCATATAACTCTTGGCCCAATAGAGCTGTGCAAAATCACCGTAGTAGTATTTGTCGTTACTTGGTCTACAAACAAAAGAAAATGTGACATTACTGTACATTGGTGTGGTGTACAGACGGTGTTAATTGTACTATCACTGTATTCAGAGTGATCGCGATGACTCATGATCTGTGGCAACTAATAGTGCGCGCAGTAAAAGCGATAGTAGGAAAGAGTTTTTAGATTTTTAGGTTCAATGATACTTAGTTTGATAAATCAGCTTCGTGTGTTGTTACCCGTACCGTACGTATAATATGTAATTAGATTCTATTGCCCGGTTGGCTATTGCCGGAATACTGAAACGGTAGTCAATTTTAAGTCGTGTTTATATCGATATATATTACACATACATTGTACAGTGGTATAATGTGCACCTCTGCCTACCCCTTCGAGGATAAAAGGCGTGATGTTATGTTATGTTATTACACATGGCACGATTGCTATCTCTGTCATTTTACAAAGAATTTGTAGAGACGGAACTATACTTAACCACGACTTAAAATTGAGTGGCGTTTGAGTATTCCGACATTTATGCTGCTGTACAAAGAAGGTTTTTCATAATCTTCGCAAACGTGTTGGAGATCTCAGTTCAAATGACTAGGTTTATCACAGATCTCTCTATTAATAATATTATGTAATATAAGTTGTGTATTTAAATAATAAAACTCACGGTTCGTAGTTGACGATACTGTGATTATAATACTGGCTTTGTTTGTTCCAAATGTCGACCATAAAGTCGATTCGTCTTGGCGTTTCGCCTATTTTCGACGCCACACACTGACCAACTGTCACTGAATCTGACGGCAAAAACAATACCGAAAATAAAAATCTGGATTTTAACTGACTTCCGCGCGCGCCGCAAAGAGCCATCTGACCACCACAGATGGGGTACAACAGGGCCGATGCCGATTTGGAGTTGCGGAGAACCTAACGGGTAACCGGGGCTCCGACTCGACGTGCAGGAGAAGGAACGGGGTGGTTTTTAGTCAGTAAGAGTCTGACCCAGCCTCACCCAGGCGGGAGCAGTCATTCGATGATTTACTCCATTTAAAAAAAAAAGTGTGGGAGACTCATACTTCGGCACGAATGGGTCAACTCCACCGGAGCCTCATAGAAACCGATGATTTCTTGCCATCAGGTGATCCGTCTGCTCGTTTACAGGCTTATCCCATAAATAAAAGAAATTCTTACATAAATCACGACAAGTGTCGTGTTCTTCGACGCGTCGCGGCCTCCGACACTGGTCTGCCCAGCGCTGGGCTTCACGAGCCAGCTCCTCAACCCAATGCTGTAAAACAATGAAATCAATATAAAAAAAAAAACACTTAATAATTAGAGTAAGTGAGATGTGTGTATGACTGGTGAATTACGAGATCCAAATCAAGGTTAAATAACAACAGATAATTACTAAATCAACCGAAGTACTTTTTTTTCGAAAATCTATTTACTGTCAGGTCTTCAGTTCTGTAATTTTCTACAATATCTATTTCACATAGATTACCGTACCAGTTGCAACATATTCGCAGCTGGAGGAAACCCCGGATGCGAGCCGCCTGCAAATTTATTCCTGCCGCTGTTCAACCGTCTTAGCAGTCTCGCCTTCTCTCTGTTTCTAAGCTTGATCTTTACATACCCAATGCAGTCAGGACTAGGGCCTTCCTGTAAAATACATTAAATGATCCTTACAAAGAACTTGTTTATAAATATCTAAAATCCTCTAAAGTAAAGGGGCGTTTCTTCAGGAGCTGAGCTGTGCAGAGCCTTGTGATTAGGTAGGTGTTTCTACTAAAACTGAGCAGAGCAAAGTAGTGCGGAGCGGAGCGGAGATACGTTGAACAAGGCTGTAAATACATTTTGCTTCTCCGTCACAGCATAGCTCCACTAAGCTCGACACCGCACAGCCCTGCTCTGCACCACTCACCATATGTTTTAATGTAAATCTTCTAGTCTCCGCTAACACTGTTTCCACTGAATCAGAGAGGAGATGAGACGAGTATTTTGAACATTTTTATAGAGATAAAAATTGATCAACCACAATCCGCTCAGCTCCGCGCTGCTCAGCTACTGTGGAAACGCAGCCTTAGGCCCGGCTCCCACTATCGGTATCGGCAGCCTTGAGAATCCTTCGGGAAGCTTCGTCATCCTCCGGCCGCCGGCCGCCGACTTTATTGATTAGATTTTTCTTCTTCTTCAGCAAGAGCTGATATGAGCACTAGATCCCAGTCCAATATATTAAATACAACTCAGACAACTAGCATACCGAAGCGGTATTTTTGTTATTACGACCATATGCACTGCAATTTCTACTGTATTGCCAGTATGTTAATGTATACCTAAAATCCCCACCTAAAATCCCCAGACGTGCCGATGCCTATAGTGGGCGTTACGGGTACTAGGGGTAGTTAATGTTGTTGAGGCAATATCATCTATTACTTACTGGATACTGGCAGAAAGTGTGTGTATTTTTGCCGCCACACATCTTGGCGCCGCAGTAGTTGACTTCGCGGGTGACAGCGAGTGCGAATGCGAGTACACAGGACAATACGACCACTATGCCGCGCATTTTATTATGATTAACAATTAATTTTATACATTTTACAATCAAAATACTTTGTGTTATTGTGTCGCCCGTATAATGTTGACCTACTTTGAATGTTGACAAGTCACGGTTTGGGATACTGTCTATGGTGCACGGTCGTAGTAGAAATAGAAATAGAGAAAAAGGTCGAAATTCCGCAATGATTTTAACCTACATGACTGAAGGCTGATGCGTATGTATAGACCAAGTATACGCGTAGACGCGTACGTATCCCTGAGTTGTAATATATAGGACTGACTGTGTGAGTATGAGACATTGTGTCTAATGTAAAGTGTAATTTAAACATTTTTTTTTTGTTTTAAGGAACGTTGTCCCACTCTAGGATTATCTTCTGTGTCGTGGATGCGTTTATAAACATACAAGTTCACATACACATGACACCCAGACCCGAAAGTGTTGTTCCGTGCGGGAATCGAACCTGCGACACGTTCCACAGCAGCCGGTTGCCCAGCCACCGCACCAACCGTGCAGTCATGATTGCGATATCTACCATGAATTGTTGACGTATCGCCGATCGTCTTGTGGTACGATGATAGAAAGGACTAGGGGGAATCAAGCATTGGTGGAAAGTAGCAGAATTGTTGAAAGTATTGAGAAAAGGCTAGATTAGAGTAGCCCTGGGAGAGGAGCGTCATGGAACGGAGAACTTACCTAAGTCTTGGAGAATCACTTAGGATGTGACAATTTTTGAGAAATATAAATAAAGTAGGGACGGACGGCGAACTTTAAAGGGCCAAGTAAAACGAACTAAATAAGAATATCAAAACGTTTATTAACAAAGTAAACTATACGATAAAATTAAACATAAATAATAAAGAAAATACATCTAAAATATACCTAAAAAATTATAAACACAAAGCTAAAATTATCACAAGAGACGTGGTGACACTAGTTTTACTTGAGTAATTAGTTAAAAATGTATCAAGATCTATTGCTTCTGTACTTTGACTCTCCGCATGTTTACGTGAGTTCTTATGTCTTCTAAATCTTCGTATACGGTGCCGAACCTGGTATATTACAGTTAATAAGTACCTTTTTCTTCAATTTTTGCAGCATACATACATACATAACTTCACGCCTGTCTCCCATGGGGGTAGGCAGAGACTAAGAAACGCCAATTACCACGATTCTTACATACCTCTTTCGCTTCATTAACAGTCATCAATCTTTTCATGCATGCTCGTCGGTTAAGGGTACTTTTAATTTGGCCCTTCTTTAATATATCGCCAATCTGGTCACTATATGTCCGTCTAGGGCGCCCTCTACCGAGCAGCAGTATCGAGAAATATGAATGTGGTGCACGGTATTTACACACCACACATCAACAGCCTATAAATGGCTTCTGCTGATCAAAGGCCTCTTCTCACACGGAGAAGGTTTGAGCATTAATTACCACACTTGCTTAAAGCGGGTTGGTGATTACAAAGTTAAAATTATAAATTCAAGTTTCCTCACGATGTTTTCTTTCATCGCTTGTCAATGGTGTCTAGATAATCTTAGAAAGTACATATAACTCGGAAAATGTCACATTGGTACATGCTGTTGGTAGGTTTCGAACCCGCACCCTCATGCATGAAAAGCCTCTTAGACCTTCGAGCTACCACGAAATTGGATTTAATTTACAATTTATCTCAAAAAGCATTTTGGTTCATTACCGAATCGAACGACACCACTGATAAAACTGTACTCATGGAAGTACTTCTAAAAACAATATAAAAAAAATTTAATTTGAAAAAAATGTGATTGGATTTTCACCAAAAATGTCTGTTTCTTTTTCTTTGCCCTGGGCCGGTGTTTGACCACTATCTCACCTATTGATAAACGATGAACCAATCTGAATATATATCGAGAAGTAATTTAATTTCGTACCCTTCTCCGTTTCCCTCTTTTTCGTGATAAAGCACGTTCATTGCGTTTTAACGTATCTTGTAGATCACTAATCGTTTCAGCTGTGAATAAAAAAACAATTACATTGTTACCGCATCTTGCAATGGAACTATTCTTTTGCAGTTACTCTTTTACATTTAAATTCGATAAATTTTAGCAGAGGAATAACTTTGATTTTTTGACAATTCTTCCATAATAAAAACTAAGGTCAATTTTATTTCAACAGCCAAGAACTGGTGATTGAAACATACAGCCAAGAACTGGTGATTGAAACATCAGAACTATTATTATAGGTTTATAATCGGTTAATTCCTGGCAGCCGCAGTCGAGTCCTACGACCTGATTAAGTTCGAAAAGAATCGCTGCACTGGCTGGAAGCAGGCCGCTTCCAACCAGCCTATTTAGGAGTCACTAGGAGACTATTTTCAGCAACAAGACATACACATCTTGTGGCTGATCCGATATTGATTATTATTTTTAAATGTACGGTCAAAGGTCAAAAGTCCACTGCCATCTTAAGACTATCGGTTGCGCTGCAGCGCTTATACACACATGCACACGCATATTTTTATCCGCGTGCGTACGCGTGCGTGTGTCTATGCGTACGCACGCGTTTTTATGCACATTAATATGAAATTACTTACGCATTGCCGTGTGATTCTTTTGACCCTGGACTGTACATACCTATCCCATTTAGTATTATTTTCATATAATCATAATGTTTTCTCTAAGTTATCATACAAGCATATACTAACAGTATTCACAAAGGTGATGCCATGTAAGGGACTGTGATGAACCATATGGGCAGAAGAAAGCTGGTACGGCGGAGATCCATAATCGGTGCTTTGGCTTGGGCCCAAGCGGAGCTATGTTGCAGACTAAACGCTCCACACTTCTAAGTTCACCTTGCCAAAGTGTCTGATAAAAGTAAAAATCACATATGACACGAAGCTTTAGCACAGTTCTAAGAGGAGAAAGTGGTATTTAGTTGTTCTTTCTCTGAGTTCCATTACAAAAAATGCAAGATTATTCATGAAACTCTACGTAACCCTACGGCGTTAGCCACTAAAATCTATTTCTATACAATTTGGAACAATAAAGGAAGAAAGTTTAAAACTTTTACTAAAAATCTCTAATTGGATTCCTTAATTTGAAAATATTATCAAAACTTTCAAAATTCAGTACACTTACCTTAAATCGACTGCGACCACAGCCCACCATATTACTTTTCGCCCAAAGGATCTGTGCAAAATCGCCGTAATATTTGCTACCATTACCTGGACTATAAACAAACAGACAATATAATGTTCAATGTCGTATTACTGTTCGTCGCAAATAATAGGTACAGTGATTGAGTTATTCATATTATTTAAAAATTGTATTTAATAATTTTATTTAACTAATTCAATAATTTTGCATGCCGTAAGGCAAAATGTACTGGGATTCTCCATAAGCTATATAACAACATATTTGTTACCTACATTTTTGGCAAATAAATTATTTCTGATTTCTGATTTCTGATTTCACATAGTCACCTAAGGCAACAGTTGATGAGTGCATGAAAAACGATAATGCATATAGCAGAAGCGATAGTGCAAACAACATTAAAATAAATTATACAGCTACGAGATTGGGAGCATTTGTTAAAATAGCATCTTTCTCTCTTCGACAGTTCGAGTTGTCGTTGAGCGTGGCAGACTACCGACTTTTTTTTAAGGGGGGAAAATCATCGAATGACTGCTCCCGCTTGGGTGAGGCGGGAGGGAGTGTCAGACTCTTACTGACTAAAAACCACCCCGTTCCTTCTCCTGCACGTCGAGCCGGAGCCCCGGTTACCCGTTAGGTTCTCCGCGACTCCGAATCGGCACCGGCCCTATTGGGCCCCATCTGTGGTGGTCTGATGGCTCTTTGAGGCGTACGCTCGGGTCTGTTTCTGGTCGGACGGGTAGCCACCCATGCTCGCCGTCCGCAGGCCCGCGCAGACTACCGACTATTGGGCGGTAACGTACATACGTAACTGCTGATTTCCATAAATTTCTACGGGTACAGGAATATACAAGATTTTTATGTTGTGGGAAAGATATTTGAGAAATAAAACTCACGGCACATAGGAGGTGATACTGTTATTGTAGAACGTGCTTTGTATGTACCAAATGTCTACCATTTGCTCAACTCGGACTGGCGTTTCGCCCACTACCGACGACACACACTGACCGACTGTCAATGAATCTGATGGAAAACCACAATATTGAAAGTAAGAAATAATCTACAGATCATGTACACCGGTTTTGTGCTGCCTTAATGCTAATCTTTAGGAAACAACTACAAGAACATTAGCCTTAATTCAGGATTCATGCTAATAGTTCAATGTAGACTCCCTCTTACAAGTGACTCGATGACACTGTCTGAAAATTTGATATGTGCATCCATGTTAGATTAATCTTGAAAAGAAATATGGGACATTTTATTTATACAATTTATGTGGACATAATATTAAAAAACTTACATAGATCACGACAAGCATCGTGTTCTTCGATGGGCCGTGGCGGGCGACACTGGTCTGCCCAACGCTGGGCCTCGCGAGCCAGCTCCTCAACCCATTGCTAAACAGTAAAATCGCTAATTCTAAAAAATAATCTACATACATTTGTTATTACCGTCTGAGACAGAAACTACACAGAGTGAGATCACAATAAAGATTAACAAAAAAACTAAGATAGAAACTAAAATCTTTTCAGTAATAGAGTACATAGTTTCCTAAATTTTATTTTAATGTGCGTCTGGTACATTAACTCGTTGAGTACCGTCATTATAGACACAATCAAAGAACAATAGGTTGCGGTCACCGGTGACCGCTTGGTGTTTGACAGTTTAATTTAAAACTTTAGACACGTATTTTTTCTTTTCTCATAAAATTAAGTACTTTCGAAAATATATTAATTTGAAATATCGTGTGACGTTGTGTGAGCGTACCACATTTTGTAGCACGTTATGACGTAACGACCTCCCACTCCTAAACTTAGCGCCATTTTATCTAAGTATTGCAACTTAATTCGAGAAAATAAAAAGTGTCTAATATTTTTTCATTATGTAACTGACGGACTAATTAGATTTTTAATTTTGATACCCTGGAAACTACCCATATCAACATCTTACATCATAAATAAATAAAAAATCTTGCATATACATAGATTATCGTACCAATTTCAACATGTTTCCAGCTGGGGGGAAGCCCAATAATGCTCCGGATGCCGCTTCATTCCTGCGACTGTTGAGCCGCGCCACGATTCTCGTCTTCTCGTGTGTTCTAAGCCTGGCGTCTTTATACTGAACGCACTCAGAACTTGGGCCTTTCTGTGTAATTCATGGAATAACTCGTTACATAACATAACATAACATCACGCCTATTATCCCCGAAGGGGTAGGCAGAGGTGCACACAGAAGTAACACTCACTTTTCACTATATATGTTATGAGTCCCACGTAATAGGGGGTGAGCCTATTGCCATATAACGGGCACAATTTCACGGAGTCCCGTACTACTACTGAGATTTTTTAAAAACCCATTGATACTTTGCCCGGCCCAGGAATCGAACCCGAGACCCGAGGTAGTCTACAGTCTAACTCGTCACAAGAACCTATAAAAGATATATCTCATAGATAATAACAACTGAAATCGAGTTTGGTGGCAGGACTACTGGCGAGGTCGTCCCTGTAGTGGACGAGAATAAGCTAATGTGTGGAGTTGTGTAGCAATCGTTTCATGAAAAATACTGACATCCAATCGAATGCTGTTAAGATTCAGAACCAACCTCAATCGCCTTGATTAAAACAATTATCATACATTTTCTTTAAAAAAATTACGTTTGTAAAGAATTGACTAATTCATCAATAATGGAAATCGAGTAAAGCATGCTGAAGTGGTTTGATCATGCTAAGAGGAAGGACGAACAAAAGATTTTATTTGCGAAGGGGATGTTAGTAGTTATGCCCGTAGGTGTACATACGACATAGGCGTAAACGGGCTTAAAACGATAGATACTAGAAAAGGCCAAGTGCGTAGTAGAATGGGAGCCAGGTATGAGGTAATGTATGTGTGTATGCGTCGCAGAAGTGCTCTCATGATAGAAAGAATAAAGTTAAAGAAGTTTGTATAGGTCGTACTAGGCACCGCTCTCTGGTTTCTGTGTACTCCTAAGAGACAAAGGAGCACGTTCGTCACTAATACTCATTATTATTTAGAAATCGGTATGATGACTGGGATGGATAGGGCACACGCTCTGAAGAGGTCCGGACCACATACCCAAGCAAGCCTTGGATTGGAATCCCCAAGGGAAAAGAAAGCGTGGCCGTCCTCGGCAAACCTGCCGGAGTAATGTGAAGCGTGAAGCTCAAGACAGATCGCGATGGACAACTTCGGTGGACGCCCTCTGCCCCATCTAGGGGACACAGGATATTAAAGTCAAGTAAGTCATGACGACAGTTCAATGCAAAAGTTTTCAGGGCTGTTCAAATCCCTACATCCCCTAAGTTTCATGATACCACGTAATATTACATTATTACTTACTGGATACCGGCAGAAAGTATGTGTATTTCTGCCTCCACACATGCTCGCACCGCAGTAGTTGACGGAACGGGTGGCAGCGAGTGCGAGTACACAGGAAAATACGACCAATATGCCAAACATTTCATTATAATAAATTAATTTTCCGCATTTTACTTTATTTCTTACACTTTGTGTCATTCGTGGTGTCTTTGTGTCATTCGTGTCGAGTCAAAGTTTTGGTTCCTTGTTTATGGTGCACGGGAACATGATTCAAAGAGTTTGAAAACTTTAAAGCCAAATAAGAATGTTAGTTCCCGGTTCCTGCCTGTGCGCATAAACCCAGCACTGGTGGACGCTGGTACTCGTGGTTAATGAGAAAATGTTTGTGGTTACATGTATTTCACGTCGCAAATAGTAATTTTTAAGATAGTACTTATTATACTCTTTGAGATAGGGTGTTGAAAAGAATACACACGTGGATGAAGGTGCGGACAGAAAATGTATGTACTGATGATGATAAAAAGAAAATGAAATAATTTTATCAACACCTCATATAATTGGGCCTCCGGTAACCTCACTCATACCACGAAATACAACACAAGCGTTGTTTTACGTCTGCCTTCTGTGAGGCCGTGGTATCACTCCGGTCGAGCCGATCCATTCGTGCCGAAACATGGCTCTCACATACAACTATGTAAAGAACTATTAAAAAATAAAACAAATCACTTTGAATGTCAAAAACATATTTATATACAAAACCAACGTATTATATATACATATAAATACATATAAAACGACACAGTTATGTAAAATAAAAAATAAATCTATAAAAATATACCTAAAAAATTATAAAAACAAAGTCAAAACTATCAAAATTGACGGGGACACATAGCTAGCTGTGTTAACACTATCAATAATCTCTTTAGGGAAATTATCTGGATAATCGGCCATGGAAGGTATTAATTTTATGAGAGCCATTAATGGATGAACACTTTTTGCTGTTGTTGTGGGTCGAGTCCATCTGTTTACAAATGTTGTACTCGGTGTATCTTCATCAGTATCATCATTATCATCATAATCTGGCAACTCTCTTCGTACCTGGTGAAAACAGTTAGTGAAATCAACAAGTGCTTTTGTATAATAACTATCGTGAAACATACTTTTTTTTAAGGGGGGGGAATCATCGAATGACTTCTCCCGCCTGGGTGAGGCGGAAGGGAGTGTCAGACTCTTACTGACTAAAAACCACCCCGTTCCTTTTCCTACACGTCGAGCCGGAGCCCCGGTTACCCGTTAGGTTCTCCGCGACTCCGAATCGGCATCGGCCCTGTTGGGCCCCATCTGTGGTGGTCTGATGGCTCTTTGAAGCGCGCGCGGTACGCGAACAGTATAGGAAGTTTAGGGCATTAGGGCTCTCATCCACGGCAGTAGCATACTGTCCCCATTTTAGTGAACGCGCAACAAGATAGCTACAAAATGTCGTCGTGAGCGAGGGACCTTAAGTGCCTTTTCACGTGTACACAAATTGCACCGGTATGTGTGGAAGCTACAGTACATGGCCATACACTGCGCCGCCGGGTACCTCGTAACCGAAACGTGTGAAAAGGTACTTATGCTGAGGTCCATTCTATTCGGAATCCAATTCAAATTAAAAGATGATACAAGCGCGTTTTTTTTCAGTTTCAGTGTTACTTTAAGCGTTCTTTTGAAATTAACACTATAAGTAGTTAAATAATTTAAAAACTATAAATACAGGATGATTTGTTATTAGAGATTTATATACAAAGCCATATGAATGTGAATGTTGTTTGTTGTTCTTTTATGAGAGAAGGTGGCAAACGAGCTGCCGCATCAACTGATGAAAAGCAATCAGCGTCGCTCCTGGTTACGGAACACTAGTGCCGTTACAAGTACGTCACCGGCCTTTCGGGGATTAGGAATTTGAGACCTGTTGGGTTTGGGGAGATTGGCAAAGGAGGGGGGGATAATTGGACCTCCGGTAACCTAACTCACACTACGAAACACAACGCAAGCGTCGGTTTTCTGTGAGGCAGTTATATCACTCCGGTCGAGCCGGCTTATTTTTCCGCAGCGTGGCTCTTCCATACTTAAAAGTTAGACGTCTATTTTATTTCACCTCAGACTGCCTCGTTGACCGAGTGGTCGCAAATGCGACTGCCGGGCAAGGGGTCTCGGGTTCTATTCCCGGGTCGGGCAAAGTATTACTGGGTTTGCAAAAATTCTCAGTAGTAGCACAGAGTCTAAAATTGTGCCCGGTATATGGCAATAGGCTCACCCCCTATTACATGGGACTCATAACATAAATAGTGAAAAGTGGATGTTACATTACACAGTGGCATAATGTGCCCCTCTGCCTACCCCTTCGGGGATAAAAGGCGTGATGTTATGTTATGTATGCTATTTTATTTCAAACGTAAAGCAATAAGTTGTTTTGAGTTACGTACCTTTCGCACCTTTCGGACCTTTCGCTCCTTTTTTTTTCGTTTTCCTAATTGTAAATCACGCTCTCTTTGTTCCAAAGCCTTTTCCACTTCACGACGCGATTCAGCTGTAAACAAGATATAAGTAGGTACCTATTACCTAGACTTCTAAATAGATAAGTGTGACTTGAAATATCGCATGGCGTCTCTTTGTGTACATTTTATACTCAAAAATGACGTAGCTAGGGACCCACTCCTGAACTTTGATAGAGACGACAAACTAAAACATAATTATGTGCCTAAGATTTATTCATTAGATAGCTGACGGGACTAATTAGTATTTGAATATTCATACCCTGTCATCATCCCTATTGAATTATTGCTTCGATGCGTTTCATATCTGCGTCTGTATAAAACGACCCTTTTTATAAACAAGCGTGATACTAACCGAAAACACAAAGGCCACTCCCTTTGAAAGATGGCCTTGAATGGCGTGGACAATGCGTAGCTGGTGCGCCAGGGCTCCATATCGCCTGTGTCGCTTGGGGCCCATACGGTGCTACGTTGCACACTAGACGTTCCACCATCTGGACACGACCTTGCCAAGATGCCTGTTGATGATGAAAAATCACATAGATACACGGTTGATCAAAGTTGACCATTTTTTTAAGTGGGAAAATCATCGAATGACTACTCCCGCCTGGGTAGGGCGGGATAGTCTCAGACTCTTACTGACTAAAAACTACCCGTCCCTAGTCCTGCTCCTGCTTTGAGCCGGAACCCCGGTTAGGGTGAAGCCAAACGAGCGTAATTTTATGAGTGTCGCGTCGCGTATTTTATACAACCATGAAAACACCAGAACACTGAAGTCCGGCGCGTTCCAGGTACATGAATAACTGTCTTGGTTCCCGCAACAAAGTGAATCAGAAGATATTATAAGAGGAGAACAAAAAAAAACGATAGTTTCCACTTCCCTCGGTGAATAACATCAGGAGACAGAATGAATTAAGCCAAAAGGCACAAAAAAAGAGACTGGCCAACTGGGTGAAGCCCAGTCGCCAAGCAACACGGAAATTTGACTAAAATCTAAGTGAGTAATCCGAAAACATAATAATTAATTAGTTTGTCACACGAAAGTTTTAATATAGTCAAAGTATTTACCATAAATCGACTGCGACCACAGCCAACCATATAACTATTCGACCAAAATATTTGCGCAAAATCTCCATAGTATGTGCTATCATTACGTGGACTGAAAATAAATAGAAAATAAGGTTTTATATGTAACTACATACATACCTCTATAAAGCTACAAGTAATGGGTGCAATGACAGTATTATTCTTACTATCACATATATTCATAGAGCTCGCAATGCGTAGTGATAGTTACCTGCGGTAACAGCGAATGATACTAGAGAAGCGATAGTGCGATTCGTACGTTTGCACTGCGGGCAATATCGAATCGATTGTGACTTATTGTGATAAGTCAGAGTTAAAATATATGTGCTCTTAGACAATTACTAGCACGTAAAGATGTGTTAATCTGGCAAATTCTTTAATTATGACATAACATAACATCACGCCTTTTTATCCCCGAAGGGGTAAGTAGAGGTGCACACAGAAGTAACACCCACTTTTCACTGTTAATGTTATGAGTCCCATGTAATAGGGGGTGAGCCTATTGCCATATACCGGGCACAATTACAGACACCGTGCTACATGTGATTTTTTTTTATAAACCCAGTAATACTTTGACCGACCCGGGAATCGAACCCGAGACTTGCCCGCCAGTCGTACTTGCGACCACTCGGCCAACGAGGCAGTCAATTAGTCAGTCTTTAATTATATTTTCTATAATACCTCTAGTAAGCGAACATACGCCACGGTAACCCCTAACCATCAGGTGAGCCCTGTGCTTTTTTGCCACCGTCGTGTTATAAACCTCTAGTATCCTACATTTTACAAAAAAAACCTACTGACAGTTTTCTTAGCCAAATGGACTCAAATGCGACAGATGAGAGGGAGGTCTAAATTCTACGTTTCACGTTAAGCAACGTGTTATTTTTTCTATTCTAAAATTCTCAGTCGTAAAATCACAATAAGCGTTGTTAAGTATAAATTAATGTATTAGTTATTCCAGTGACTGACGAAGGAGCGACTGCTGAAACTCCCGGTTTCTCAAAATTTCATTATAAATAAATGATTCTTAATTAACTAAAATCGCGGTTTACTCACGTGAATATACTGAGAAAAGCTCTACTAGTTTCGCGAATCAGTGAGCTGCGCCACGTCGCCGCGACCGCGCACGCTGCTCATGAGGAAGAACCCGTCTGTGGTTCGAAACTAGTAGAGCTTTTCTCAGTATATTCACGTGAGTAACCCGCGATTTTAGTTAATTTTGTATGTCTCACGATAGTTATTATAAAAATGATTCTAACATTGTACAAAATCATATTTTAATATTATAACTCACGGTACGTAGAAGTTCACACTGTGGTTGTAAAAAATGTTTTGTATGTACCAAATGTCAGCCAATTGCTCGACTCTGATTGGCGTATCTCCGACTACCGACGCAACACACTGACCGACCTTCAAGGAATCTGACGGTAAACACAATAGTTTTATTAACAATTAAATTATAAATATTTAAGTTTCATTTATGTGGAAGTGTGGGAGAGCCATGCTTCGGCACGAATGGGCCGGCTCACAGAAAACCGATGTGAAGCAACGCTTGCGTTGTGTTTCGTCGTGTGAGTG